GGAGGTCGGCGCCGCGCTCCTTCCCGCGCACACCTGGCGCAGGCGGATGGAGAAGAGCTTTCAGGTGAGCCGCAGCGCCCTGTGTCCGAGGACTCGGCTTCAAGGCACATGGCCTATGCAGTCACATACAGCCCACACTTAGAAGGTCCTTGTGCCTGGTGTCATCCTCTGTTGTCACCATCTTGAATTTTTCAATTTTGAGCAAAGGCTTCCGCATTTTCATTTTGCACGAAGACCCCAAATTAAGTAGCCAGTCGCGTTCCAAGGTGGTGCAGTAACCCACGCTTGGCCTTTACAAATGTTAAAATCTTAGCTGAATTTTTCTTACCTGCTTACCGAGTGGCCACCTTTTCCCCACTGATGGGAAAGGGAAGACAGTCTGTGTGTCCTGTCCTCTCAGTGGATTAGCGCCCTTGGGAATCCAGTTTCCGTGACCGCCTTGCAGCCTCCATGTGGGGGCTCAAAATTGTTATGATTTTGTGTATCATCCAGCTGTTTCTCGTTAGGGTGGGAGAAACATTTTTTGTGGCTTTCTACATCCTAAGTGAAAGTCCAAAACCGCTGTACCGTTTAGAACTTGGTATGTTTAGGATTTCAGTCTCAGCTAGCAGAACTAACCGATTCAGGCTAGTCTCTCCCCGACCGCCCCCTTAAAGGGGAATGTCACATTTCTTTTAAAATTTCCTTCAGAAAAAGATGGCTTTACGTTTTTATTTTCTTTTCTTCCCATAACAAAATACCCTTTAGAGTCACTGTCATAATAGTAGAACAACCTAAAACGACATTTATAGGTAGTGTTGATAACAGGTAGCTATTATTAAATCCAAATGAGATCTCCCACACCAGTCCGTAGGGAGGCAGAAGTTCACAAAGCGAGGCATGAACAGACATGAAGAGTAATAGAATTAGGGAAATTAAATAAGGATATGTGGCCTCTGTGCTAGAGATAAATAGGTTATATCTTGCATTCCTGATCATGTAGACTGCATACTACTTTTAAATACTCAGAATATCCTTTAGTATATTTAAGATGTTAGTCTTTAACATTTTTCAATTTTACTCCTTCACTGAAGTATGTTATAGAAAATAACAATAAACAAGCTAATTGGAATAAGATTCAAGTTCGTTTTCCCTGGGGCTATTTTGTTAATTGAAAGCTATTTTAAGTCACATCATTCTCCTCTATCACTTGACAAATTTACAAGTCTATCCCCCCCTTTTTTTTTAAATCATAAGCCAGTTGATATCTTTAACATTTATCATGGAAAATTACACAAAAGTAGAAAGAAGAGAACAAACTGCCACAATGTACCTCTTACTTAGCCTTAGTATTTATTCATCTATTATCCCCATTGACTGTCTCCTCCCCAACTATTTTCAAGCAAATTTTGACCGTAATTCCTATCATATTGTAGTATGTATCCTTAGAGATGCGGATTCTTTCTCTCACGTAACCGTACCATCGTCACACCTAGAAAAAAATAATTCCTTAATCATGTTTCTGATTTTTCCAACTCATTGCAAGAGGACTACAGTATAATAGTATTTATAACCAAAAAATCTAAAGATTTAAGCCATCTGTAGTTCCCCTAAATTCAGAGGAAGAATTAGCTTTTGTATCCAAGGAAACAATTAAACATCTATTTTTAGCCCTTCAGTTGTACAAGCAACTGATACTATCTTTTTTTGTGTTAAAGAAAAATGTATTGCCAGGCAAAGAAATGGCCCTAATGTTTTTGTGTTAGAAACTGGGGGGTGGGAGGGCCAGAGGAACCTTTATTCCACAGATTTTAGGACCTATTTCTTAACGACTGAAATTATGGCTTTTTAAAGGATAACAAAGATCTTTTTAAAATGGTAACAATTATTTTCTGTAGTCATTATCCTTAGAAATGATGTGGGTGGGCAACTGAAAATAAAGCCTGGGAAAGTCTGTGATCAAAACTGGTAAATACAGAAATGTTTGGATTTTTTCTTTTGCATTTCTATTTGCATTTACATCTATTTCAAAGAATAACGGAAGCTTACTGAGTCTTTGAAAAGAACCCTGATTAAGAACCATCAACAGCTAGAGAAACCAAAGAATCTATCCATTAAAGTAAGTTATTCCTAAGGACGAATTCATATTGTTGGGGAAAATGCCCTGAATATTTCTGGTACTAGTTATTTATTGCCACATAACACATTTCCCCAAAACATTACAGTCTAAAACAGCACTTACTATCTCCCACCGTTTCTAGGGGTCAGGAATTCAAGAGCAGTTTAGCTGGGTGGTTCTAGCTCAAGGTCTCTCATTAGGCTGCAGTCAAGGTTATTGGCCAGGACTGCAGTCTCAGGACACAACTGGGGCTGGAGGCTGAACTCCAAGCTCACTTACATAGCTGCTGGCAGGAGGCTCCAGTTCCTTGACGTGGTCTTCTCCACCCGGCTCTGAACAGCATGGTTCCCATCAGAGTAACTAATGAGACAGAGACAGAGAGGGAAAGAGAGAGAACCAGGATAGGCACAGCAGTCCTTTATAACCTAATCTAAGAAGGGACATAACATTACATCTGGTTAATTCTATTGGTCCTACTGATCAACCCTGGTATACTGTGTGAAGACCAGGACAAAGGGGTCACTGGGGGCCACGTGGGAGGCTGGCTCCCACAGCCCGCCCTCTAATCTGCAATGATTCACCCCCTCCCAAGGAACATGAAAGTCTTACAGAATCAGCTCAAAGTCCAGAATCTTATCGAAATCAGGTCGAGGTACAGATGAGACTACGAGGATGTGTGTCGTTAAGAACGGCTCTCAAGCACGTTCCTCGTAGCTCTAGGCCTGTGACCAGAAATGTTGTTTCCCCCAAAACGAGTATGCACTGATGATCAGACAGCATGATTCCTGGCCAGAAAGACTGAAAATGAACGACACACAAATCTCCTGGTCTTGAGCAGTTTTGAAATTCAACTGGGCAACTGTTAGACATTCCCTATAACTCAGTCCGCCTCCCGCCAGGAAATTACTTCCCAGTGGCCCTTGACTTGGCCTCACCTTCTGAGTCATGCTTTTGCATGAAAGGTAGCACTGGTTTACAGCAAGGCCCCCTCTCAGCTTGCTTCTCACCAGCAGAATTTGGGGGAGTCCAGAGGCCTCTTTTAATTTTCACTTCTCTTTCAGTCCAAGCTGACCAGGTTACTGCTGATCTAACTATCTTTAAAATCTTGACTCTTCTGTCTTATTCTAACGCATCACCTTTGATCTTTCTCAGATCTTAACAAAGGATTTTACGTTTACACTCTTGGCTTAATCTTCACACCACCTTTTTCTGAGAGTGCCTTTGACTTAATCTTTGCTCGGAAGCCATTTAATTTTGCATTATTTGGAATCTTCCAAACCAGAGAGCTCTGGTTCCTTTTTAAGTCCTTTCTTTAGCTTCTCTCTTTCCTCTCAACATTTTATTACAAGCAGCAAGAAGAAACCAGCTGCTGTTTTCAGTACTCTGGTTGGAAATATATTTAGCTGGATCCCTTAGTTCATTAGCTCCGTTTTCCACTTTCCGTATAACTGCAGGTGATCGTGTTGCTAAACTTTCTGCCACGATGTAACAAGGATTTCCCGTCCTCCAGTTTTCACCAACATCGGCCTCCCTTTCGTCCAAGTTCTCGCCTGCAGCTTTCTCAATGACTTCGGGGCTTTTACCAATTTCAAGGCACTTGCAGCTTTCACCAACACTCTCCTCAAAGCCCACTGCCTGGTTCCAAAGCCACTCCCACATTTTAGGTTTCCATTGTGACAGCACCTCACTTCTGGGTTCCAAAATCCGTGTGTTCTATATTGCTCCATAACACATTATCTCAAAACCTAGATGCTTAAAGTATTTGTTATCTCACAAATCGTGAGGATCAAAGTCTGGGAGGTGGTTTGGCTCAGGGGTCTCGTGAAGTTGCAATCAAGCTGTTGGCCAGAGCTGTAGGCTCTAAGACCCGAGTGGGGCTGGAGGTCCAGCTCCAAGCTTCCTCCTGGTGCTGTTGGCAAACTTCTGTTCCTCGCCACATGGGCCTAAACAGCTGCCCACAACATGACATCTTCCTCCATGTGAGTGACTGAGAGACACCAAGACAGAAGCCACAGTTTTTTATAATCTAATCTCAGAGTGCCACAGACCTCTTCTGCTGAGTTTTATTGGCTACAACAGACCAATTCTGGTACCATGCAGAAGACCACACAGCTGTGACTGGCAGAGTGGGTAGGGGTCACTGGGGATAACCTTGGAACCGCTACCACATTTCCTAGTAGCGTAATTATTTGCTAGCTTTCACGTAATCAATTTGCCAAAGGGTCTAAAAATGTGGGGTGATTTCATTTTATAATTTATGGAACATAAGCATAGGAAAGTCTGGAAGAACATAGAGAACCATGATGTTAGTTATGTTTATTTCTGTGTACTGAGATTGTGGGTGATTTTAATTTTGTTTTTTTTGGGGGGGTGGCGGATATAGCTCAGTGGTAGAGTGTATACTAAGCATGCAGACCCTAGTCAAAAAAAATTTTTTTTTATCAATTTGTTTAAAAACTTTTATAGTTAATTTTTGTAATCAGAACTTTTTTCCATTTTTTTCCAGTGTGGAATATTCCAGAGATTAAAAAAAAGTTAAAGGTTGATACAACTTATTATTTATTTTCAAGTATGTATGAAGACACTAGGTACTTCTGGAGGGGAAAAAAGGATACAATCCTTGCTTTTAAGGAATTATGTATTTGGGAAAACACATAGCTATAAGTGTAATAAATTCTACAGGAGAGGAATAAAGGAGCATTAAATAAAGGGCAATACAGAGGAATCAAGTTAAACTGACTCCTTAAGATCGCATGGGAAAGAGAAAGGGAGTGGCTAGAACAAAGAGCCTTGTATACCATACTTGGAGTTTGAACTCGGTGTTACAGAGCATGAATACAGCATTACAGGAGAACAAGCAGGAAAATGAAATGACCACATGTATTTAAAAAACTCACCTATATTTCCATGTTTTCATTGTATTATTTTTAAAAATACTGGTCTGCCTGGAATGCTGTAAATGTTACAATTTAACGCAAGGTGAAAGGAAATAATCTCAAGCATTAATTAAGTAAACATTAGTACAACGTTTACTATCAAAAAGAACTTTAAGGCCTTAAAAGAGCTTTGAAATGTCTTCAAAGTTTAATTTCTAGAAATACAGTGGAGTAAACATTCCTACGTATAAGACTTTAAAAGAGGCTGGCTGAACTGTGAAATGCTCAGTGTAGGAAGACAGAACAAAGTCACACGACTTTGTTTTTCAACAAACTGCTAAATGACATCAGCTAGGGAAAATATAAATGAGTGAGTACCTTACTGTGCTCATTTCTATCTAGTTCTCATCTGGGACACTGTCAGATGGCACACTCCAAAAATTACTATATGCAGAAGGCAATCCTTTTCTACTCCTTTATGTCCATATGTTCCCATGGAGAGTGTTTACTGCCTTGAGCTCAGTCAAGGTAATAGACACGATTTTAATGTGAATCCTTTATTGTCCTGTAAGGTCATGGCACAACTGACTCGTGTAGAACAGGCAGGTCTCATTTCTTAACTAGCTGCTCTGCTCTTTCTCTTCCACATTGAGGACAGTATCCACGGTTATTCCTATGTCCTGCAGTGACCAGCCTCCCTCCACTTCCAGAGGCCTTCTGGGAAAGGAGCTGGAAAGGCTGTATAGGGATGGGTGGTACCCAATTTTCATCATCCAGTCAAACAAGACCTGTAAGATAAAAAGCTTAGTTATCAAATCCTGTACTCAGTGGTGTCCCTCTAAATCGCCGTGATATTTTACAATTCTTTCATTGTTAAATCATGCCCCAGGAGTCATGAAACAGAACTTGCATACCTTTCGAAGGAATTTTCTACAGTTTAAATGAAAATCGCTTGCAAGGAGTTGTGTGATGTGAACTGACCTTTAATACCTTTTGTTTCAGAGAAGGCTTAGGGACTACTGGCACCTACAGACAGCAGGAGCATTTAACAAGTAGAAAAGCCCCAACCATAGGGAATGGAAAGAGTAGTCAATAAAAAGGTTGAGAACAAATGATCAACATATAGGGGAAAAGTTATTTAGATGAAAATCTAAGCCAACAGTCCACATCAGCATCACCCACAACAGACAAGTCCAGGTCCCAGAGACTGCCTTTTGATAACCCAATATGCAGTGGGCCATCCTACAAATGCACAGTATTTCCTGTCACGAAGATTCCCATAGTAATTGTCCAAATTTATTTTTATTGCCTAAAAACAATGCCTGCTAAAGGATGGTTTGTTGCTTTAGGAGGAAAGCTGAATGACAGAATGTTCTCAGGGGAAGCTGGGGTATCAATGACAGGTAATCCCTGACTTCTACCACCATCCATGAACCTACTGATAGTCCGTGTAATAAATGTACCTTATGGTACAGAGCTCCTTAACTTTCCAATATATGACTATGCCTTAACTTAACCAATCCCTACACAAACACTTATGCCTTTGATCATTTGTCTTCTTTCCAAAGAATAAATTCTCATAAATGAAATTACTCAGCCATAAAATATATTTTTAAATATACACTGGTAAATTACCCCATAGGAACACCGGTTCAAATAACATTCACATGAAAAATGAATAAGAATTCCTGTTTCCCCCGACACTGCCCAGAATTGGGTACTATTCTTTTTAATCTTGGACAATCTAATAGGTAGAAAATAGTAATATTTTAAGCTGCACTTCTTTGATTCTAAGTGGGACCAAACATTTTTATCGTATGTTTATCTGCCACTCGGCTTTTGTTCTTTAGGAAATCTTCCATGTTTCTATCTGCCATTCCACTGAGGTACTTCTTTTCCTTGATTTGTATACGCTCCTTATATTAAAAAATGGCTACCATACATAGACGGTAAAAAAATTTTTTTTCAAATTTTTCCTTAACTTGATGAACTTTTTCTTTGTAGAATTTAAAATTTTTACATAGTCAAATCCATCAGTATTTTCTATTATGGCTTATAGCACTCTTGACACAGAAGGTTAAATGCAACAATCAGATAGAAAATTACTTAGATATATTTTTTAATGCACACATAATTATATGTACAAATGCACTTAAAAGTAGATACATCAAAAAATTACTAACTGGCTTTGGTATCAGACTGCAGATCAAATTTATTTTTCTTTTTTCTTCTCTATATTTTGCAAATTATTGCCAATGAACACAGCATTGTTTTTAAAAGAAAAGAAGTCTATTAGAACAAAAGAAAACAAGCTCTAAAGAATGATCTGAAAATTACACATAAGCAAGGGGGCTTAGATTAACAATCCATCAGGGATAAGAACAAAGTTTATACCAGCTGTTTCCCAAGGATTTGAAAGCATCTTACCTACCAAGCTGTGAAAATGTAATTAGAACAGAAAAGAAATAGGAAAAGGAAGAACTGAAAAAAATTTGAATGCAGAAACCACAGTTTAAAAAAGCTCAGCAGTCCTGATTCTCCAAATTTCTGCAACCCCGAGACATATAAAGCCCATTCACCCTGAGCTGATGGGAGTACCAGGCAGCAGATAACACCTCCTCCTTGCATGGGAATAAAACTACTGCCAAACTCAGCACAAATATTTCTCCAAATATGAATTTCCTCACCTGTGAACTGTAAGACTTAAAAAACCTTCTCTTCAGGACACGCCCACCGGGACATCGGAGAGCAACAGTCACTGCCTGAGGAATAAAAATGTTCAGATGAGAATTCCAACCCACTGCTCTCTGCGATTCCAAAGCTACTACTATGAAATACCTGTACCCAGTTATAAGAGCTCACGTGGGGTTTCGTAGGAATTTAGTTCTGAGAGCTGTAGGCCAATGTTAAGGTCCAGATAAAATTCACTCTAACCAGAAAAATAATTCTTCTGAAACTGAAAAACATCTTCCCACTGATTGAGGAGACCAGTGGCAGAGCCTTCCAGAGAGGACACCAGAGACAGAAGGCTTCTGACTGCCCAGCTAATATGCAGAATGCAGTTGGGCTTCGAAAGACATCTACTAAACCAAGAAGACCCAAGGCCACCTCAGCGTCTGCAGACAAGACAGACACTAGACTGGAAGGACAAAAAGTTACCCAGTCCCCTCTGTCAGTGTCAGATCTGAACCACGCCTCCAGCATCCCAGCAAACGGGAGACGAGCCTGGATGGTGCTGGCTGCTGGGGCTCTGAGGGACCTCCTCTCCTGAGGGCAGCTCCTGCTTTGTCTGCTTTATGTACTGAGTCTCCCCATAATCTTTCCTCTGGTAAAATAGTTAAAACAGCCACGAAGAGCCTGCCACCTGCTAGTATATTAAAGGACATTATAAAAAAGAAAAGATGACAAATTAGTAATTCATTCCGATGTTCACTGTTTACCCGTCAGGAAACGCTTTCTTAGGGACATTATCGTGACTGTTCTGGGAGGTATGTCGGCATCACAGTTTACAGAAATGATGGTTTTACAGCTGCACCTACCCACTTCAGGAAAGCCACGTTAAAAAATATTTCCATTTAGGCAGGTAAGGTGTTTGACTAAAGCAGTGCAACGTTGAGCTCTGCTAAAACTTTCTACTAAGGTTTTATTAAAAAAACAAAGAAATCACAAAGTAACAATCACAGATTAAAAGCCAATTCCGCTTATTTTTAGAAACAATAAAACTTAACTTTTACAGAGAGGTTTTGTTCAAACTTTAATGACTTGATAGGAGAATTAAAGCCAAATGCTTTAAGAGAAACTAGGGTTAAAATACAGTGAGTTAGTGTTTTCCATTATGATTAGATAAATACTTGAGAAAAATGAACTATTATTGTTTGAAACTAGCTATTGCTCTGTTATCACAACTACTGTGAATGGTGGTTGTGCAGTTTCTCCTAATATTTCTGACAATCTAGTGGACTGACATACTAGGACTGACATGCTAGTGGGTAAGAGGCCTGGGACACAACGCGAATTGGAAAGTAAATCACTGTCCCAAACACAGGTTGTTAAATGAAATCTAAATGAAAAGTAGCTGCAATCATTAAAATTTGGTTCCCCTTAGCATGAATGAGATAGCACACAATAATGAAAAGAGCTGCTATGGTAATATAGCAACACTATATGATGATTTACAGAATTGATTTCAAATTATCTTAAATTCTACAGTTTTTTCAATTTAAAAGTAGACGTGGGGGGAGGGTACAGCTCAGTGACAGAGCGCATGCTTAGCATGCACAAGGTCCTGGGTTCAATCCCCAGTACCTCCTCCAAAAATAAACAAGTAAATAAACCTAATTATCCCCCTCCCCAAAAAAGTAAAGATCAAGGTAGAACAGTAACATACGGTGACTATTCTATTGTGAATTCTAGGCAACCATGAGTTAGCTCTTCAGGCATACAAATTACTAAACTTAAAAACTGCAAATGTGTCGACAAAAATGTGACCCTCCAACGGCTTTCCTGGCTGCCCCAAAAATGGTTTTCAGGGAGCATAACAGTCACTGAGTCTCAGCAAATGGGAAACCATCTAGCTCTCCTCTGCCTTGTGACTTAATGGCTTTGAAAACACATGCTCCTGTACCTCAGACAATGGGCTGGGCAACCGCAGGGAGCAGCTCAGATTATGACAAAGCAGTAGGGCAGAAGGCAGCTCAGTGCAGAGCAGGGGGTCAGGCCAACCCTGCCCTCCCAAACAGCAAGCCATCCTTCAATTCAAACACCTCCAAAGTAGCTGCATTTTTCATTTTCTCTTTTGAAGGGAAAACTACAATCTGAAGTTATCTGCCTATTTTGATTTGGTTTTAGTAAGTAACTCATGTGCAGAACCAAAGTTTTGGGAAAGCCCGTGTCTGGAAAACCCCGTATCTCTGCCTGGTGAAGAGGGAGGGCTTTAAAACCCAAGGTCAGCAGACAGCAGGCTTCCAAAACAGGACTTGAGCTCAGGAGTCTGACACTGCACCATATTCAAAACAGGATCTAATCCTGCTGCAATCACATAAGCATGATGCTCTCTTTTCTTTCTAAACCCAAATTTAGGTGAGACAGACTTCCTTGATGTTAAGGAAAATAAAAAATATAGTTAATTTCCAAAGGGAAAAAAAAAAATCTTACTTCTTCAGCTGTTTCAGGAGGTTCTTCAGGTAAATTAAGAACCTAAAGAAAAGTTAAGTATTTAGTAGCAGGAATGTAAACAGTTTGAAGAAAAAAAAATCTCAACGAGAAGAGTTCCTTTCGATACAGAGTTTGGACACATCTAAGCATAATGAAATCTTTTGTTTTAAGATACATTTTATAAAAAGTTTACAATGAGAATGGGAACTCAATAAACATTTCTGGGTAAGCAAGTTCATGCTAACAAGAGATCATGGAAACAGGGTTTGAGATGACAGCTACTAATCTACACACATTTAAAGAATTTTGGGTTTATGGTGTTCCAAGATGTTATATTAAAAATGTATGCTTTAAAGAAACAGAGAATAAAGTTCAATAAGACCCTAAAATTATTTAGGTTTATACATACACATATTCTAACATGAATGCACATTTTTCTCCACCGGCACTTCTACGGGACTGGACAACAACCATTCACTTGGGCCACATTTGTGATCTATTCGAGTTTCCCTATTTCTGTTAATCTATTAAAAAACCAGATATTCAGACAATTTTCTCTCATTAAAACACTTGTTGCCAACAATTCCATCTCCAGAGATTTTTTTTAGTTTTTAATACCACAGACTTCATGTTTTATCTAATGAACATTAATTGTATCTATTAAATAAACCATTTGTTTTTCTTTGGTATCAAAAGCACATGTGATGGTCATCCAAAATTTAACATCAGGATGACATAATTTGTGCTATTAACAAAAAGCAAAGAATCTCAAATTAAAACAAAATTTTTTAATTGAAGTTTTAGTCCGTATAGTTCATTAGATCTTTGTGAAATGTTACAAATAGTTCAATGACCTGCTTCCCATCCTCATGCTCCATGAAGGGGCCAGGAAACCCCAGACTGAGAAGTAATACATCAGACCACTTTCAGGGAATAGACAGCCTACCAGGTTTCCCTAAGAGCCAGAAAAAAAGAACAGACTTATTTCAGCCTTAACCAGCTCTAAATCGTAGTCAACGCAGCGATGAAAGATTTGAAAGAAAAAAAGGAGTAATACACCTGGGCATCATTCCAAAGTGAATGGTTGCTAACCCATTCCCTGGAAGGGCCACTGAGAAAAATGATGCACTCATGTGAGTAACATTAGCCACTCAATAATATGGTTTCATCATGTCTTAGCTGCCCATAGGAATGTTTCCCTGGGTAAGCACTGTATTTTTTGTTTCTACATAACTTAATTTCTTCCTCAAAAAGAACTGAGCATTTTCTAAATTTATTCTCATTTACCTTCCTAGATTCCTCCTAAGTTTGGCTCAGAACATTAATATTAATATTAAACAGGAAAAGTGATCCTTAATAAAGTTGATAATTTTGTAAAGAAGCGGGAAGAACACCATCTGGAATGAAAGCCAGTCCTAATCTTCACTCACTCCACCTCCTCACTCACAGAACAACAACCCTACTGCACACGTATACAATTCAGTGAGTAGTTATTAAGTAACGAACCTCCTTCTGCCTGGGCTGTTCAGCGGGTGGTGAAACTTTGGTTAAACGTTTAGGCAAGTTCCGTCTTCTTGCTGCTTCTCTGTTTGATGTTTCAAAAGATGTCTGACTCTCACTTTCGAGCACCAAATCTTCATCACCCTGGTCAAAAACAACAGATAATTTCTAAAGAGATGCTCTCTATCAACTTCATTCCATTTACAATGGTTATTTCTTTGGCCCTGATGGTATTTCAGTAAAAAAAATATAATTAAGTCATTATTAGACCCAGCAATTTAAAATACTATCTCCTTAGACAAAAACCTTAGAGCTTAACTTATGTCTTGTAGAAACTACCCTTATCCAGCTCTGTGGCTCCCTCTGATGGTACAAGGCTGAGAGGATCCACTCCGTTTTAACTGACCCCACCCCTAAGTTTTCCAGTAGGATAGAAGAAAGGAAAAAAACCTGAATAAACATTCCTAAAAAACAGATTGTACTAGTCATTTGCAATTTTAAAAAATCAATATATGCTAAAGGGAACATAAGTAATAGCAGAATTCAAAATACAAAATGAGAGTATTTTCTAACCCCAAGTTTATGACCATTGCTTAACTTCCAGGTTTCACCCGTCATCTGATAAAAGCGTTCTTCCAGCTTTTTCAATTTCATTTCCCGGTGAGGTTTTAGAACATTCTCTATGTATCTGCTGGCCTGTTCAAAAAAACAAATTAGGCGTTGTCACTACACATTAACGTTCCTAAGATTTTATATTGTCTATATGGTTGTAAATAAAAACCAGGTAAGAAACGGTGTTTTCACACTAATTCAATTTTGCCCCCCAAAAAGCGGCATCCTCCACTTCTCCATCACTGTCTAAAAATTTGCATTTGTGCTTAGTGTAAATAAAAACAAACGTTCTATACTTCCACTCATATGGCAGTCTGCCTATGTATCCTTTAATGTGTTTTCAGTGCCACAAAAACTTATGAGGGGCTGGGGATACAAAGATGCAGAGGATGTGGTTCTTGACTTCTAGGCACTTAAAGTCAGAGCAGTTCATTCAATACATGATGCCTAAGGCATGAGCTTGTTTGGAAAAGCATTAACTGCAAAGCTTGAACGTGGTAAAGCAGAAAATATTTTTGGATCCAAAATGGAGATTCTGGCTTGAAGATGACAGCATGAAATTATTGCTGCCTCCCTCTCCCCTTAAAAAAATCACCCTCAAACAACCACAGGAACAAGAAATAGAAAACCAGATAGCTTTTAGTGTAACATTCTTAAACTGAAATGACAGAGCCAAGGATTCCCAGATGATTAAGGGAAGCCTCCAATGTGAAAACTGGAGACTAAAATTAACAAACAGAAAAAAGGAACTTGAAAAACGACACTGGAATTTGGAGGATAATGGTGTACTTCAAAATTCTAATGATCTTCAACCTATGATACTATACCAAATCAAGCTATCAATGATGGGTCTGAGGAGAAAAAAATCACCTTTTTAGAATCCAAAGAATCAAAAATGTTACACATCACCAGGAATGTGTCTGCCCAAGCTGGGCAATTCACCATTCAATAGACATACTGTGAGATACTGATTTATTAATTTTCCTTTGTCCAAAGAAAAGAAGACACAGGGTTAAAGTTTTTAGACTTTTGCCAAACAGAAGAATCCCAACTTTATGTACCTTTAGGAATTATAGATGCCAATTAGTAAACAACTGGCATGTAAAGGGAATTATAGTTTACTAATTAGCATGAAAGGCTTTAAAATTAACTTACTTTCATGGGAGATAACATTAAACGTTAGAAGTTCAAATATTTACAAGAGACCTTCTTATGAAAGATCTTGCAAGGACCATTTAATTGTGAAAGCTATGTACACTGAAAACTATCAAACACTGCTGGGAGAAATTGAAGACAAAAACAAATGCAAGGACACTCTACGTCTATGGACTAGAAGACGTAGTATCATTAGAGTCAACAGTACTCAAAGGAATCTATAGATTTTAATGCAATCCTTCTCAAAAATCCCAAAGCCCTTTTTTGCAGAAATAGGAAAAGCTAATCCTCAAATTCATATGGAATGGGAAGGGGCCCCAAATAACCAAAACAATATAAAAAAAGAACAAAGTTGGAGGACTCCCACTTCCTGATTTTAAAACTTACTAAAATGCTACAATAATCAAAATAGTATGGTACTGGCACCAGGATAGATACATAAACCAACGGAATAGAAGTAAGAGCCCAGAAATAAGCCCACATATCTATGGCCAACTGATTTTCAACAAGGGTGCCAAGACCATTCAATGGGGAAAGAATAACCTCTTTATTAAATGTTGCTGGGACAACTGGGTATCCACATAAAAAGAATGAAGTTGGACCCCCCACCTCACACCATACACAAAAACTAACTCAAAGTGAATTAATAAGCTAAATATAAAAGCTAAAGCTACACAACTTGTGGAAGAAAATATAGGGGTAAATTTTCTTGACCTTGGATGTGGCAATGGATTCTTAGATATGACACCAAAAGCATGAGCAGCAAAAGAAATAACAGATAACTGGCCTTTATCAAAAGGCACTGTCAAGAGAGTGAAAAGACAACCCACGGAATGGGAGAGAAAATAGTCACAAATCATATATCTGGTAAGAGTCTGGTATCCAGAATATATAAAGAACTCTTATAATTCAACAACAAAAAAGACAATACAATTTTAAAATGGGCAAAGAACTTAAACAGACACTTCTCCAGAGAAGATATACAAATGTGCAACAAGCACATGAAGAGATGTTCAACTAGTCGTGAGAGGAAATGCAAACCAAAATCACAATGTGATACCACTTCATATGCGTTACATTGAGTACCTGGGGGATGGGGAGGCATGGAAAAAACAACTGTAGGATGTAGAGAAATTGGGACCCTCAGAAATTGCTGATGGGAATATAAAATGGTATAGCCAGTGTGGAAAATAGTTTGGCAGTTCCTCAAACAGTTAAAACACAGAACTGCAATATGACCCAGCAATTCCATTTCTGTGTATATACCCAAAAGGACTAAAAACAGATACTCAAATACTCGTGCACAGATATTCATGGCAGCGCTATTCATAATAGTCAAAAGATGGAAACAACCTAAATGTCCATCAGTGAATGGATAAACAGATTGTGACCCATCCATACAGTGGACTATTATTCAGCCATAAATAAGAATGAAGCACGGATACATGCTGTATGGATGAACCCGGAAGACATTATGCTAAGTGAAAGAAGCCAGAAGCAAAAGGTCACATGTTATAGGATTCCATTTACATGAAATATCCAGAATAGACAGATCCATATACACAGAAACCACTGGAGGCTGGCAGATGATGTGATGGGGAAGAAATTGTTTAACAGGTATGGGGTTTTCTTCTGGGATGCAGAAAATGTTTTGGAACTAACCAGACAGAGGTAGAGGTCACACAACACTGAATATTCTAAATTCCACTGAATCATGCACTTTAACATGGCTAACTTTATGTCATCGGAATTTGACTTCAATAACTTAAAAAAATCTGAGCACAAACACCGAAAGCAACAAACCTAAATGTGAAATGCCCCAGATATGTTTGCATTCTTTTTATCTTCTCTCCAAAAAGTATGCTTTACCTTTTCACCCTGTGTCTCTTGTTGTTTTTTCCTCACAAGTTTTTGCCTTTTCTCATTCTCCTCTTCTTCTTCTAAGACATCAAAACATAAAAGTGCTTTTTAATTCCCAAGTGTCAGTAAGTCAAATGCTATCTTCCTGAAAATAGTCTGCAGATCTTAACATTTTGGGAAAGACAAGTCTTCAAATAATAAGACTATATTTTTCAAATAATGAAAATGAGGTACACGCAGACAGCTGAAACAAGAGAAATCTGCAAGTAAGATCCGTAAGAAAAAGTCTATTCTGAAACAAAAATTCCTCGACAAGTATTAATATTGTGTGTTAGTTTTGGTGAGGAGGCTGCAAGAATAATGACAGCATGTGTTTTTCTGTGGATCTTTGATAGGGTTTCAGTAGCTTCAAGGCATAGCGTGGAAACCCATTCCCGCACATGAGGTGTGGAACGCTGGCCTGCAGCCATTTGGTCACCTTGGACATGACACTAAAAGCAATACACCAAAATCCCAAAGGTGGAGTGTGCTTGTCAACTCCTAGAGTGACTGAACCAATGTTAGGTTCTAATCTACTGAATGTCAAGAGAAGGGGTTTCTCCTGTTGTATGGACCTTTTTTATTCTGGGTATAATAAATTTCATTTAAGTTAATTTCACGTACCTGTATTCTCTTGCAGAATTATCCATCTTTTAGGAAAATACATCCTTTAAGTTGCTTGGCTCCTTAAACAGGAGCATTCCTTTCTGTCAACAGCTTTACCTTATCTCTTGGCAGGAAATATTTCCTCAAGTTTATTAGGGAAAGATTAGGCAGTAAAGCACACAGAAAATTAGAAAGCCCAGTCAGGCCACCAACTTGCTATGTGATCAGTCAGACTGAGTGATCTGAGCCAAAGATGTATTTTTTTTTCTTCCAGGTTTATTGGAATATAATTGACATTCAGCACTGTATACGTTTAAGGTGTGTAACATAAAGATCTGACTTATGCATATCATAAAATGATGATCACAATAAGTTTTGTGAACACCCATCATTTCATTAGATACAACATTAAAGAAGCAGGAAAAAATTTTTTCCTTATCATGAGACCTCTTAGGATTTCCTCTCTTAACAACCTTCACATATAATGTTCAGCAGTTACATTTATCATGTTGTACATTACATCCCTAGCACTTATTTATCTGATAACTAAGTTTGCACCTTTTCACTACTTTCATCCAATTCCCCCTCCTCTCACCACGGGCCTCTGGTAACCACAAATCTGATCCTTCCAGGAGTTTGTTTCTTTGTTTTTGAAGTACAATTGTTTCCTGGCTTTTGAAGTACAAATCAAGTACACAATTTATTGATTCAATATTTCTATACATTACAAAATGAGCACCACAGCATGTCTAGTTACCATCTGCCACCATACAGAGATATTACATAATCATTGACTAATTATACCCCACACTGTATATTTCATACCCCTGGCTCATTTATTTTGTAACTGCAAGTTTGTACCTCTTAATCTCCCTATTTCTCCCCTCCCCCAGCCCTCTCCCCTCTGGCAACCACCTGTTTGTTCTCTGTATCTATGACTGAAATAATATATTTTTAAATAAATCAGTAGTAGGGATTAAGGGGCTTTAATCCTCAAAGCCACTGAGAACTGACTACTTCTGAACTTTTGATAGACCTCATCTTGTAAACTTTTACAAAATAAAGAGGATTAACACTTCGGATAAATCTGAAGTCTTATACCCCAATATCTGATGACAGTAGGGGAGACAGAAAATGTGTGAGCAAGCTGATTTTTTACTCATTTGAAGAAATCTCATAATAATTAGGCACTGTACACAGTCTTAATTATTTGACAGTTTTAGCCTTCAGTAATGATTACGTCTCAAAATTATCAACCCATGAATACATTTAAATGACTTACACTCCAACAATATAAAAGTACAACTAAAAGCATGGAAACTACGTCAAGTGCACATTTTCCTTAGTTATAAAACACATAATACTCGCCTGATTGTTTAACATATGCAGCAAATATCCTCCTGAAATCAAAATGTATTTAAATAGAAAGTTTTTAAGAGAAGTTATAATGACTCATTTTAATTTTCCAACTGAGTAATTTGAAGTATAAGCCATCAAATAATATACCAAAGGAAGAAAGAAAAACATTTCCAAAATCTATGGTTGGGAGAACTTGAAACCTCCACATTGTCTTGTATGTTTGGGTTGTATACTGTAACCTTTCAGGATTATGTTTTTATTCATAGATAATTTGCAAGGGCTATAAATTAAACACTGCTGATTTTCCTTTCATTTATTTACATTTAAATAAACAGTAAAACAACATAATGCACCAGATTCATTACTGGCAGGCCTCTTTCTAACAGGATATAAGAATGTATGCATTAATTCATCTGTTCTGAGGCGAACTACAACATTGTTTTAAATTTTAAAAGGCTTCTAACACAAACTTTTACTTACTGAAAAAACAAAACAAAAATAAGAACAAGCATGGTTTCCTAAAATTAAGAGTACTTAACACAAAAAATGTAAGTGCTTAAATAAAAACTGCCAGAATGGAATGAAAAATAAATTATCCTTAACTCTTAGTCTTAATGCTGGATATATTTACCATTCATAGAACAGTTTATAAGCTGTATGTATCAAACAGCAGTTAAGCTGTACAAACACACAGACAATGTAAAACTAAAAAATTTTCAGTGTACCAAGTTAGAAATGATCTAATTTCAAATGTATACACAAGAAAAAAAAACCAGTTTCTCATAAAAATATTGGGATTTATAGCCCATTCAAAATCATAACTAAAGTTGTAATGATTACTCTACTTTGACATTACATAGCACAAATTAATACTAAAGTAGCTCTTACTGTGCAAAGTTCTAGCATAAAGAAAGAATTTCGGTAGAAAAGTATAAAAAGGTAGGCTTAACAGTAAACTTACCTTTCAGATAGACTTGGGAAGATTTAAACGAGTTAACCCATGAAGTAGTCACAGAAATAATTACTGTAAGAAGAGCAAGCAGTAGGAAAATTCGGCCACACAACAAAATTAGATCTTTGATTCCTGATAAAGGTTAAAAATAAAATTACAATTAAAATTCAAAACATTTTTCTTGATACTCATAATAAGTGTTAACGTATTAGGAGATTATTTGTACTAGTAAAGTATAGTAAAAGTTAAGGTATGCAACTGTCTTATGAGTTTTCATATAGTCTCCTTTGGGTGCCAAACCTCATCATGACTGTCATTACCAGAACAAGTTTTCAGAAAACAATTCTAGAACATCTTATGTCTCAGGAATATAGATATAATTTGAGTGATTGGCTATATTATAAATATATGACATAAATTCTGGTTTCCCTTCTCCTCAGAGAAGGAAATAAAATTACCCACATAATTAGGAATTAAATCATGATGGTATCATCTTAACAAATTCTAATTCTATTTGAAAAGTCACTCCTACTGAAACACCAAAATTCTTATTTTTCACAGTAAATTATGCAACTGTGTACATCTCTATTTCTCAATATTTATTCCATCATCTGTAAATAAAATTACTATATACATATTTGCCTAGTAAAAAAGTAAAAATTCAGTACTTGGTTTTATATTCTTTTAAGAATCAAGATGAAAATTAATCAGCAAAAATGTAACCAGTACCTATTTTGTATAATACAATTTGCTAAATGGTGAGGGAGCACAAATATAAACTTGGATTAAAAATGGTTTCTACCCTCCAGGAATTTTTAGTTAGTTTAGTTGTGATAAGTGATGGGAATACAAAAAAAAAAAAAGATGATGATGAAGATGTGGTTCCCTACCCTCAAGAAGTATATTCTCCTGTGGTCAGAGATGATCATATGAACAGATCTCCTTCTCCAACACTGAGTAAACCATCATCTCATTGACTAGTGACTCAAATATTAGTGCAAAATAGAAGATTCTACATGAGCAAAGTAAGGGTGAATGCTTTAAGGTAAGGGAGCAGGTAAATTCTGGAGTAAGTGTATATTTCACATTTCTGTATATTCTTTGGATAAAGGTCTTGTTAGATTCCAATACAGCTTGAGACTTCTGGAGGATCTCTGTGCAAATTTTTAAAAAAGCATTTTATTTCAATCTCTTATTTCAAGCAACAAATCTGGGTACCTGACTTCTTGGGGGTGGGGATGGAGGATGGAGAGAGAAAGGAAATATACAAACCTAAGTTTCATCATGGCCTCCAACTTCAGAACTGAGTTTAAGGAGGGAGAAAGACACTGTAAACTGATCAATAATATGGCCAAAAATGAACTGATTCTCCACCGCTTTACCAGTTTTCTTTCAGTTTCCCTTTATCACCGGCACCAACTACTTAGGGCTGTTCAACCCCACAGGTAGGAGTAATCCTTGATTCCTTCCTTTCTCTCACTCCAAACATTACTCCATCAATAATCCTGTTAATTCTACTTGGTTAAAAATCCCAAATCTGTTCATATTTCATTTGCTCTGTTATCATCCCAGTCCAGACCAACAGTCATCACTACCTGCCTACCTCAGAAGCCTACCTTGTCTCACTGCTTCCGCTATAGCTTCCTTAAGAAACATTTCTCAACAGAGAATTCACTGACCTTTTAAAAACCTTAGGGAAGTCCCTTAACCCCTCTATATCTCAGTTTCCGCAACTGTAAAATAGGAATTAGAACGGTATAACCCATTCTCTATGGTTATAATGCAGATTAGATGAGATAATGAATAAACAGTAATTAAAGATTCTAGTTTACAATAAGTGCTCAAAGAATGTTACTATCTTGAGCCACTCTCCTTCCTGGTCTCCCAGATCCAGCCTCAATGGTCTTCATCCTTTCCCTCCAATATGTCACAATTCCTTTTGTCTGGAATGTCTTCCCCCGGCTTTTCCAAGGGGTGCTCCTTATTATTATTTAAATCTCTGCTTAAATTTCTCAGAAGGCCTACATCACATTAACTTATTTATTTCCTTTGGAGAACTCAACACGACTTGAAAGTCATGTATATGCTTATTCCTCTGCGTCCTGCCTCTGCCCCCTTACACGCAAGATTTCACCAGGTCTGGAAGGACACTTTTTCCGCAGGGAAGAGCCTGCCTCCTCCTGGCGGCTAAAGTCCTCCTCCCCCTGGGACCTCGCGCCGGAAGAGGGAGGCAGGCGCGGTGCAGCCTGGGAGTCGTAGTCAAAGCCGCCCAGAGGCGAAGCGGCCGGGAAGCGGGAAACTCTACCCAACGTTCACGGGAACGTTACCCGAGTGCGAGCGCCGAAAATGAAAATCCAACACTTACCTAGATCTGGGATCCCACGCCGTAGCTCCAGACACAAGAGGGGGAGAGCAGAGAGGAGGAAAATGCCAACAACCCCACGAGACGCCATGGTGGCGGGAGCCCCGCTTCCGGTCGGAAGGCCCGCCCCTTCCGGTCGCGCCTTCTCTTGGAAGGTGGCGT